TCAGCTGGCAATTTCAATAATTTTTTAAATCCACTTTGAGTATTAATTAATGCACATCCTACTTTGTTTTGTACTTTAGATCCGTCTGTAAAGTAAAACTGATAATTTGGCTATTTATGCCGTGTAAATGATTGAAAAGCGACTGGATTTAAATTATCCTCCATAAAAAATGTGAAACTTTGGGAAAAATATGGGAATATATAGGTGAAACTTGGTTTTCATACGTATAGAAAGTATGTCGGTATTGAGATATCCTCAAGTAACTATTTACCAGAAGAGAACATTTTTTCTTTGTCCAATATTTATGAGTTAGATCTAAAATTGATAAAATATGAATATCCTGTAGATAGTTAGTATTTTTCCCTATGGCTCTAGTAATGAATTTATCACTTAAAAACTCCCTTCGAAATTTCAGAGGTGGTTCTATCGCCTCAACTTCCATTATATTAACAGGTGTAGAAGTCAGAACAGGTGTTTGCGGCAGTTCTATACAAATGACAACTGTAATCGAAAATGGGACGAATCATTGTGCGGTAAAATAAAAGTGCTACATTTGGATCAGCGCCCCAGTTAGTTCTACAAAAGGCTCTTAGAATGTTCATTGCATTTTCAGACTTTTTTATGACTTGATGAATTTGATCCTTCCATAGAAGTTTTCTGTCTAAATAAGTACCGAGATATTTTATACAATTTTTAATAGGGAATTGAATTTGGCCTACTTCCAGATGACGTTGTGGAATTTGATGTTTTCCAGAGAAAATACAAATTTCTGTTTTAGATTCTGATATTTCTAAACCAATATTTTTATAGTGATTAAGAACAGCTTTAATTGAGACATCAAAATTATTTTTACATATATCCAATGATTTGTGGGCTGTGTAAACTACTACATCATCAGCATATTGAATAATTTTTGTTGGGCTATTAATACAATTTTCTATATCCATATTATATCTAAAAAATGTTCTTATAAAAACCCTAAAATCCCTAAGAATAATTAAGTTCATGCTAAAATATTTTAATACCTTTATATATAAACCCATTATTCGTTATCTTCACAGAATCAAACAAGTAAATTTAAGTACAACTAACGTAATAAATTAGCTTATTCTCTTAAATTAAACTATTTAAATATTGGCTAAACTACAAAGAAAAGTAATATCTATAATTCAACAGTAGGAAAGTAACAGAAAGGAATTTCCATGCAACACTACTATTAACTTCCTAAATGCTTAAAAGTTTCTGCCAGGGAACGATGGAAATGCAGCATTAACATTCTGTTATAATTGCAATTAAACTCGATGCTTCCCAAACAGTTTTCATCCCTTAATTATATGCAAATATTTAAGAGAAACTATTAAAAATACATTTTAATCGGGGGTTAAATATACACAGCGAGGCCTGGGAACTTCTTGGAATTCTTTAGTTGGACAAAGCCGTAGAATTACTCTTTTCACTAACTTTTAAGGAAGCTTTAAGTAAAGATAATAAAGTTTAAATTCATACAAGTAAATTTGGTACAGGTTTACGTTTTTTATGCACTCGTGCTTTTAAAATTGGGACTATTTAATTAAGTTGAAGTTTCAGTAAAATTTCATATTTTTTAAGCTTGACCATATTTTAATAAAACCCAATTTCTATCCAAGATTCATTGTCTAATTTCCATAATTTTGTGCTTCTGACAATTGTATAAGACGCGTTTTTGAACTGATGTGAATTATTTATTAGATCCAGTTAAAACGTATCGCACCTGCGGTGCTATAACGTCAATAATTATGCATATGATATGATTTTTCAGGACAAGCAATTGAAAATCAAAAATCCTATTACATTGTATAGTTCTTTTCGAATTAAAAATGGTAATATTTTAACTACAACCTTATACTTTATTTTAAAATAACAGTAAACTTCTCAATAATTATTATTATAAAATATTTACGTTTAAAAATTACAACCCTCGCAGAAGTGACGATATGGGTCCAGAAAATAATTAATTCTATCAACATTGTCAAAGTGAATAAAATACAAAATCATACATTTTAAAAAATATATTTATTAAAATAGCAAAAAAGTGTAACAAAATTTCTAAATTCTACTTACTAGTACTATCAAAGATAATAATGAAAATAACACTAAACAAAATTATCTACAGGAAATCACCGAGGAAAAATTCAATGTAAAATCACTGTAGAACGACTCTATACTCCATTCCACGAATATACGACTGTTTTAAATTTGCTTTAAGGTGTCGATTTAAATGGTCCAATGTACTGAATTGTACAATAGTAAATTCTCCCCATTTCCAAAATACTGTTACGACAGATATAAACCTTAGATTTAAATATGAAGTCATGATATAAATATAAAGTTAATAGTATATAATTACTATCACGGAGTTTAGTATTGTAAACAAGTTGTTTTTTCAATTATGTGATTTAAACGAAATGTAACAATACTTAAGTGATCAAATAGTGTATTTTTTTTAGGCGAATATTCAATTATTATTAAAAAAATAAAAAAAAACTTACTTATTCACTTACTTACACTATCATTAACGATCAGATTCACAGGCATAATCAGTCGGCGATATATGAAACTGTATATAAATTTTCGTTACTTTTTAATATCTGTTACGACTCGGTATTTTAACTATCAATAGCCGGTATGTTATACCCGTTACTTTCGGAACTTTTAAGAGTACATAAACTCAAAGCAAACAACTATTTAAAACTAACAAAGTGAAATATTAGATCCTTTTTCTGGTTTCTGAACCATTGTTCTGCCAATTTTTCTTCATTTATATTAAAAATAGCATATTTCTTTTTATTACAGTTCTAATACCTAATAAAGTCATAAAATAGGGTAATATCAAAGAAACCCGGCACGCCTCTTTGGTGTTTACATTTCACGGAAAGCTTACCCAAATGTCTGATGAACACATTTGACTTCATAGACGTCATTGTATTTATTTGTAGATTTTAACTGAAATAATTTTAGTTTAGATGTCATACTAGTGGACCCTTTTTATTGGAATAATGATTGGACCAATTTACCTTAATAGTTCTACTTGCACAGTAAAATATTCGTTTTCGCAGTAAACCAAAACAGTCGTATATTCGTGGAATAGCCTATACAAGAAAAATGTACCAAAGGAGGCAGTACAGAAGATACAGCTGAAACAAATAGATGATATCGAAGATATAAACGCGAGCTGGGATAAAACTAAAACAACATTGAAGAAACAGCAACAGAAGGAAAACGTAAAGTCATACTGAACAAAAGAAACAACAACTATACACCATGGTTCAGAAAAGAAATAAAAAAAACAAGTTTAGAGATTTATAAGAAAACAACGGTAAGAAATAGCAGAATTAAAGAAATACAATAACATACCAGCAAACGAATAGGAAAGATACCTGACGGAACTGTTTAAAACAAAGAAAAATAATAATCAACACAATACCGTACCTGAATAAAGACACGAAATAGAAATCAGTTTTCAGGAAGTAGGAATAGCCATTAGTTGCTACAAAACTTATACAAAAACTAATATTGCACTGCAAGATACTAGACGCATGAAGAAACAGCATAATGATACCAATGTTCACGAAAGAAGATAAAGAAGACCCCAAAAATCATAGAAGTATAAATCTACTGAACACCGCACTTAAGCTTACCATAAAAGTCCTAACCAATAAAATCAATAAACTAACATTTTTATCAGATGAACAACAAGGAATCAGATCCAGAAGATCCTGCGTAGACGCCGTATTTTGTACTAAGACAAATTACAGAAAAAGCCATCGAGTACAATAAACCTGCATATCTATGTTTCCTAGACCTGACAAAGGCTTTTGATCGCATCCAAGTCGAAGACGTCTTACACCTACTGTATAAAAGAAACATACCAATCAATATCTTACAAACCATCGAAAACATCTACCTCCATAATCGAACACAGGCAAAGATAAAAGGAAAATTGACACAGTTTATACCAGAACTAAGCGGAGTCAGACAGGGTGACTCGTTGAACCCACTTATCTTTAATATAATAATGGACGAAATAATACAAGCAGTACGTAAAGGTCATGGCTACAGAATGGGGAATAAAGAAATCCAAATATTGTTATGCAGACGACGCCGCATTAATCACCGAGACAAAAGACGAGCTCCAAAGATTAAGATATATCTTTAATACAACAGCTAAGAAATACAATATAATAATATCAGCAGAAAAAACCAAATGTATGATTTAGTTTTATATTTATGATATTATATATATGATTATTATCATACCTTAATACTCACTACGGTGTAAAATCGAAATTGATGGGTAAATAATACAGCAGGAAGTGAGGTTTAGATATCTGGGAATAGATATAACTAGTTACGGAGATGTTAAGAAGAAGCACGACCAAGAACAAACACCTAAGACAAGACACAAAAACAAGAATCTATAAAGCAGCAAGTAGACCTTTATGAATATACACGACAGAGACAATACCTGACACATCTAAAACGAGACGACTGCTAGAAACAACAGAGATGAAAATAATCCGACGAATATCAGAAAGAAGCCTGTTGGATAGGGAGAGAAGCAAAAACATAAGAGCATGCAATATAGAAGACATACATGGATGGGTCACAAAACGAAAACAGAAGTGGAACGAACACATCAGTAGAATGGCAGAGGATGGAAGAGTACGAATAGCACGAGATAAGTCACCAAATGGACGAAGAAGTATTAGCAGACCAAGAAAAAGATGTGCGATAATTTAAACAATTTAGGAGGCTAATATTGAAGAAAAAACAGGCTTTAAAGCTACATACTAGAAAGAAGAAGAAGAAGAAGTATCTTGACACGAGATTAGCCTCCAATAATTAGCCTCCAAAAGTAGAGTAGAATAAATCGATAAAATTGATCAATAAGGTCGACAGAAGAAAACTAAGAAAATGTTTAACAAAAAACAGGTAACAGAAACCGAATAATCGTATGGTAGGACAGGATCTACAGAGGATTGTCGAGCCAAAGATAATAATAATAATATTGATGTTGATGATGATGATGATGATGATGTTGATGATGATGATGATGGTGATGATAATGATGATGATGATGATGATAATGCTGATTTCACCCGTTTGTTGATTATTATCATATGTGTTACCAAAAATTTACATATTTCTCATGAATAATACGGAAGAGATCGAAAGAGAAATTAATACAACTTATAAGACAAAGGAAGCCAAAGAGCAACACCTAAATTAAAACCGTCCGTATTTCTGAACGCGTTCAGATTAGAATATTGCAGAAAATCTTGCTTCAAAGAAAACATCAAGTATAAATACAAATTAATATATTAAGAAATACACAATTTATACCATAATGTTCAAAACTATCTGTAAATCTGTTCCTATGAACGCCAAAGTACCAAGAATAAAAATTTTAAATTTTCGAATAGAGATTAAAATACCAGCTAAAATATTTCATTCTGCTTTATTATGCTGCGCTAATGCTGTATTGAGAGGACTTTGCCTTCGTGTTTTGTTTTTAATTATCAGAACTCCCGGAATCTCACGAAACAAAGCTAATTAAAAATGTTAACTGTTGGGATTAAAACTTCTAAAAATCGTTGAACCTGCATTTAACCTTAGAAGCATTCAACAGCTTTAATGAGCGCAAGATGGACGGTTTTATTATACGAGATAAAGGATACTTTTTGGCACAAAACAGGAACATATTTCGGCAATATCAATGTAAAATCATTTAAACTTTGTAATTAAATAAATAACATGTACTAATAATACAGGCCTGCGAAATATAGATGTTAAAGAAATATTTTTAATTTACGAACTGATTTATATTAACTGCTGCATTGGTAATTAGACCATGGCGGATTTTTTTGAGGTGGATGTGAGAGGTGTACAAAAAGGGTGTACATATGTGGGAAATTATTAGTATAATTTCCGTGTACGTGGACTGTATTATATAGGGCTGGTTCAAATAAATTAGGATATGTAGTAAAAGGTATACAGACAATAGCAAATTAAGTTTATATAAAGTCTTATCAATATTTCTGCTCCTCACTCTCGCGGTTTTTGCTCTTATGCGGAATATGTCCGGGCACACTTGCGGTTTTTCTAAACACGTGTTTCGCGGTAATAGCACTTTGCTAGGTAGAGCACACTTTGTCTGAACGCAATTTAAAATAGTGTTTTCGATATTTCTCGCGTAACTAAGGCGGGAAAGAGGTAATTGCAATAGAAAACACCCAAGATGGATGCTGTTCTTCTTGATAATCGAAGAGAGAGAGAGAGAGAGAGAGAGAGAGAGAGACAGAATGACTGTCTTTGCGGTAGCCGAGAATCCAAAAAGGCACGACTCACCTTGGCGGTAGTCAGATCAAGAGAGATCGTTTCTTCTTTGCTATTTTAAAACTGTCTGTATTTCTTACGAGAGGGGGGTTAAAATGTAATTAGGAAGGGTTATTAAGGGTGGGACTAAGATAATTATTGTAAAATTGTGATAAAAGAATAATTAATAATACAGCGAAAAAATGACATGATTTTTCGCATGTGAAAAAATTGAACATATTGGGGGCGGGCGAGAAGAGTTATGCCACTGGGATAGGGTATCAAATAGTTACTTTGAGAGTAAGGGTAAATCGGTATACATTAAAGTCATTGTTGTAAAAAACTAAGATAACTAAGAACTATTTAAAATCTATTGAAACTAAAGTATAGAGAAACTATATACATATTTGGCTGAAAGCGCTACTATTGGTTAAAGGGCAACCTAGCTTTCTTTATAAACCTAAGGTATTTGCAATTAGGTTTGGATATACCTGTTTGAGCAAGAGAATCCTTGCCTGGGAGCAATTCGATTAATTTTGCCAGAGGCCAGAGGAATAAGGAAGTCTCTTCATCTTTGATTACTACCACATCACCTATCTTTAAAAGATCAGTAACGATGTTCCACTTACTCCTACTTTGTCGTAGTAGCATACGCAATACAAGCAGTGGAAGCGTTAGGGATATGGGAAATGAAATTTTATATATTGATTGGAATGTATCCAATAATGATTTCCAATACGATATCAATATGTCATCTAAAATATCATTCTCCCAGTCTAAGGGCAATGACCAGAGGCGTTGTACGAAAGATTTAGAGTGTACTCTAAAGGTGAAGAGTTTTCCTAAGGAGCTATACATTCGAGACACATAGTAACATAAATTTATTTTTGTTAAGGAAGGCGCCTTTTCTCAAACAGGCAACTTAAAAGAGAAATCGTCTTGATAAGGTAACCTGTTAATACCTAAGACCTTAGAGAAGCTGTTAACTAAGTCAAGATTGACTTTTGAAGTAGATATCAGATTAAAAGGCACGAGAACTTGAATATATTTTACAGAATTGGAAGCTGTGAGTTTTTAGAAGTGAGCATAGTTGAGAATAAAGTATGTGTATCGTTTTCAAGTTATTGGCACTGGTCAAGATATTGTCGATATTTGCAAAACTTAAGAAGCTACTATGATTGCGTGGTTTGGTTAGCAAAGGTTTGAACCTGAGAGAGAGTACACAACGGAGTAGGGCACGTTTCATTAACGTTCACTATATCAGAAGGCTGTAAGACAGACTGAGGTATCAAATCCGGAATATTGTTGTGTACTACAGGGCCTGTTGTTACTTGGCCCTTTACGAATGGTAGAACCACGGTAACAGAAGAAAAGGGAGGTTGGACTGACTGAATTTGACTGAATTGATAATAAGTCGAGAGATTTTTTTGTTGGAATTTTATTCAAGTGTAACAAAGTGAGAGTGGATATACTCTGAGCTTGAATAGAGAGTTTATTAACCTGTCGTATATTTAGAGCATTTAAAATTTCTGGTTGAGAGATATCTTGAGTTTGTATACAAGTTGTGGAAGGTATATTTGTCAATTCGTTTGGCACACCGCAAGAAGGCGGTACTGGAGTTAAGTTTTCAAAAACTAATGGAGACAAATTGACAGTTGTCAGAATTGGAGCAGAAACTAAAACATTTGGTGTATGTAGAGCTTGAGTTGAAACCAAAGTATTGGATTCCTGTAATATTTGTGGGGAAGAAATATTAAGAAGCACAGGTGATGAAGATATTACAGTTTTAGTAATCGCATTTTGTTCTGGAGTAGTTTGAAAAGTGACTGTTTGTGCTGGTAGCACATTTTTTAAAAGAGGCTGGCGTATTACATCTTGATAACTAATGTTATTAGAAGTGATTTCATAAGTTGGCTTTTCAAGCTCTTGCGTCTGAGCTTAAACAATTGCAAAATTGAATAAAGTACTTATATTTATTTCTTTTATTTCTTTGAACTGATTTGGGAGAGAGTCGGAGTAAAATGTATTTTCAACTCCTTTTTGGCCATTCATTCACATTAAATTTTGTATCAAATTGAAAGGCTTGTTTAGCTTCTCGTTTTTCTTCTAAGAAATATAAAGCATCCATATATTTTTCATAAGTAGTATCTACTTCTTCACTTTCCAGTATAGTTTCGTCGTCAGCCAGGTTTTCCAAAGCATCCAAATATGATTTATGAGCTGCATATTCTTTGATTCTACAATTAGAGAGGCCTTGTTCATTAGAACTAACCACCTGCTGCTGATGAAATTATATTTTGGCTTGATCTAGCATCATGCCTTTATGCTAGAAGAACAACATATTGTTTAACTGCTCAAGATATAAATTTTGTTCTCAAGCACGACAACCCCCAAATGTGCCTCAGGCGAGGCCAATAGAAGAGATTTGGGCTGTTTTGAGTTGAATGGTGTATAATAATGGCTGGAAAGCCCAAAATACAGGTCAGCTAAGGCGAAGAATTTTGCAAAAAGTTACGTAAGGTCGACTTAGGAAGAGTCCAAATGTTTATTACAATTTTATTGCAAGACCAAATTTACGTACCACCAAAGATCACGGACCTCTTTCTGTTCTATAAAAATACATTATAAAATGAAGAAAGGCAGCAAATATTTGATTTCACGCAAACAAATCCTATGTATCTCTTGATACGTATTTCGACCTAATAGGTCTCGTCAGAAGAGCTATTCATAGGAGTCCTCAACGTGAAAAATCAATATTTTCTGCCTTTTAAGAAGCAACAATAACATGGCTTCAATACGGACGCAGTAGCGACATCTAATTACAACAATCGTAAAATGTGAATTGTGAATTGTGAATTCTAAATTGTGTTTCGAAACTATTTTACGATTGTTATACATTATAAACCTTAAATATGTAGACTTAATTTCCTGTATATAGTTAATAAAAGAAAAAGAAGCTGTAGAGGAATGTAAAGAAATAGAAAGACTACAAGCCAAGTATGACAATTTTAATGTACACAAAAGTAAAAGAAATAACGGGTACTTTTAAAAAGCGAACACAAATTAAACTCATAGACACCAATGGAAAATTAATCATTGACACCCAAGAGATGAAAGACAAATGGAGAATATATTTGGAGACACTTTTTCAAGATCAAAGAACGGATTATAGGCATCCATTTTTAGAGAGGATGACGGGCTCGGACATACTTAAATCCGAGGTAGAAGAAGCAATAAAACGGATGAAAAGCAGGAAAGTTGTAGGACCTGATAATATCGAAGCTGAATTTTTAAAACTCTTGGAGGAAGAAGGAATAAATTGGATCACGGCTGTCTTCAATAAAATATATAATACAGGAGTCATCACTGATAAATGGCTAGAATAAGAATTCATAGCGATACCTAAAAAACAGGGGGCTAAAAAGTGCGAAGAATATCGAACAATCAGCCTAATGAGCCACATGTTGAAACTGTTTCTTAGAGTCATCCATGGAAGAATTTATAAGAAGTGCGAGGAACAAATATCGGACAGACAGTTCGGCTTCATTAACGCAGTGGATACCAGAGAGGCACTTTTCGGAGTACAGGTACTAATTCAAAGATGCAAGGACGTTAACTACGACGTATACGCGTGCTTGATCGACTGTGAAAAGGCATTTGACAGAGTTCAACATCAAAAGATGATAAACATTTTAAAAGAGGCAGACCTGGATGACAAAGACCTCAGAATAATTTCAAAATTCTACTGTAATCAGACCGCATACATGAAAATGAACGGAGAAGAAACAGATCACATAAAAATACTACGTGGAGTTAGACAGGGATCTATCGCCATTGATATT